GCGCCATTTCATTTTTTTCTTTTGCGTCCACATTACTGCTGATCACAGATGGTGCTATCAAAGGAACTTCCTGCTCCTCCAGAATAATTTGACTGCTTTATCTGAAGAATCAGTCTGGCACAGTTTTTCTTTTGGTAGATAGCTGGGAGAGTCAGGGTGACGTTCGATACCAGGCGTAGGATCTACAGACGTGACCAAGTTGCCAGTGCCACACTTCATTATGTGTGCGCACGCGCGTCATATCCTTTGTTATATAAATCTGCAGATATACACAGATCTATTAACAATATAAATGTGCAAAAATGGTGTAAGTGTCTCTAGGAAAGGTGCTAGAAATATCACGACTCCGTGACAAAACTTTGTTCATAACTGAAGATGGGACATTCGGCATCTAACAAATCAACTACTTCGTTGATGAGTCTGACTCATTTCAATACCCAACATTCATCCATCAACTGCCACTTTTCTAGCCATCAAATTTTGGCAAAATAATATTGACCAAATCCCCCTCGTTCATCACACCCAAATGCAGAACCGAGCCCCATTCCTGAAACTCTGAAATTCTCTCGTTTCTTTTCTACACTAATGCTCTGCACTAGCAAACGACAAACGACTGGAGATGTACTTTGTAGGTTTCGTCCCTTCCGTTGAGATGTCTGCCAACAATAATGTGGTTCGCTATCCCATTATTAACCAATATATGCCGTGACCCTCCCAAAGGTGAACCACCAAGGAAAAACTGATGAATTACTGAACGAGCACAAATGATTCCTCTCACCATGCGGTACTTACACTTAGCATGAGTCCTCCCAAACCTTACCGATCGCAACTTGAATTCTCAATTCAATTATGCAATTTAAATCATTTTAGAGTTGTCACTAATCTATTATCGATCGATTCAGAACCCAACTAAAACACGTGAGGATGTTTTACTTCTGTGAACCAGGGAATCATGAGTCTAGGGATTTGGTTACGCTAGATAAATCTAATATCATTTCAATATCTTTTTCTCTTTTTATGAATACGTTTATCATGCGATCTTCATCATTTTTATTATCCGAAATTGCTAACATGTGAAAGTAATCATGCAAGGTGCACAAGCAATAAAGATAAATATCCAATAATTAAAGCAGTAAATAAATTGCAAGGAGAAATTAAGTAACCCGAAATGCATCAAGCAAGCCTAACCAAAGCCTTATTATCGATCCCCAGGACGGAAGCCCTCTAAACTATCAGTCAAAAGATAAAGATGCAATGATATAATCTATGCATGGACTAAGTGAGATGTATAAAACATGTATGGAACCTAATCTAATGAATTAAAGGAATTGGTCTGGGTTTATCACACACAAGCAACTTTTGCTACCCAGAAGATGTTCTGGATGGAGGCGAAATAACACAAAAATGGAAAGAGAAAACCCCCTAATCGAGTAACAGTTAAAGGCGATCATCACCGCGGGGCGATCGCCCTCACGATGACCATCGCCACAATTGCGGCAGAGGGTGACCATCTCTGTCCTATCCAGTCAGGTAAAATTATCTTGTCCCTATAGTCCGAACACCTCATCCGGGTTCTTGTCCAAATCCAAATTATGCCAATCTATCCAATCCGATCCATCAAACGACGCCCTCCCGGTTTTTCTTCATTTAGGATAAGCAAGGATTTCATTTGCCTAGATAAACAACGGGAAGGAAACTCCTACAGTCCTTTACCAAAGCCAATCCATAGGGAAAATCTAACTTGATATGATGAAGAACATTATCAGCAGTGGTAGTAAGATCATCAGCATCATGCATCTTCATCCTTCAGTTGTCTCCATACAAAACATTATAATTGAAAGCAGTCCAAGTCAAATTAGTATCTCATTAATCAAAGTTCTATGTTTTCATTGAGTTGAGTCTGTGCTTGTGGGAAAAGGCCCACTGGGCTTTGATACTCATGAAAAGGACCTCCCCTCGGATGAGACCCTCAAATGATATGTCGGCTTTATCTCGTTTCTTTATCACTTGGTTTTTACACGGAATATAAAAGAAAAAAATTGTCAAAAGTCCTATGTTTTCTATTGTATTTCATCAATTCGATCTTAAATCTTTTAATTGTGTCAATCAATTCCTAAATCATCTCACGTTTTACCAATCAAGCCAATCCGGCCAATTTTAGCCATAAATCGCTAACGTAAATGCTGACCGTCTTACGTGGCGTGACCGACACTAATACTAGCAATTTTTAGTAATATTTTCATATTTTTCCGATTTTTTTATTAATTTATCTTTTTATTTTTCCTTTATTTTTACTTTTCTTTGTTCTGTTTCCCCAACTGTGGCCGACGACCTTGCCAACCGACCATTGCCGAGGGTTAGCAACCCTCGCCCAACCCACCTAAGGGCGTTGCTGGCCCTCGCTGGCCACAGGCAAGGTCTATTTCGCCGGCCAACAGGTGAGGATGGAGGGCCGCGACGCTCTCGCCCATGTCAGGCAACCTTATTGGCCACAGTTGGCGAAAAAACATAGAAAAGAAAAAAATTAATTAAAAATTCGAAAAAAATGTTATTAAAAATTATTTCACATTAGCGTTGACTATACCACGTAGAACAGCCGTCCATGTTAGCGATTTCCGACCAAATTGGCCCGATGGACCCAATTGATAAAACCTGAAAAGATTTAAGACTCAATTAACAAAATGCAAAGACTTAGGACTGAATTGATAAAAGTGCAATAAATTTAGAATTTTTCAGATAATTTTCCCAATATAGAATCTATTAATCTTTTTCGGTGGAGGTAAAGGCCCCCAAAAAGAAAAAGGGATGACAGATGATTGATAAGTTACCATCTCCCACTTTATTTGCCTCGCCGGGGCCAAGCGTTGATTGAATAGTCGGCCACGATTCAATCGAGATACTATTTTCGGGGTTATTACGCAATCAAAAGTGTCGTTTTGGCGGGGCAAGTGGATTAGTTGCGGTCTGAAATGGACATACGTGCACGGGATAATTGCTTTGCTTAGTTTTTAGGCGTGCTAATGGGTGGGGGTAAGTAAAGTGTCGAAGTCGGCGAGCGTGGAAGACGAAGTGGATCTCTTTACTCGGTCGTCACCACTCACCACTCCCAAAAGCAGCACTCACGCGTCTCGTCTCTTCTCTTATTCCTTTCCCATTACAAGATAGAAAGAGGGTGATATATCTCTCTTCACGAACGAACTTGTCACGCGCGATTTCGGGGCAGATGCCGCTTGCTGTTGCGGTTTGCTGCAGTGTCGTCCCATTCTCGTCTCTTGCTTGGAATGCCGCTTGGGTTTGCGAGAGAGACGTGAGGCAGCTTCCTCCTCTCCTTCCTCGCACCACCACCCCAGCCGCCCCCAAAACTTGCTTAATGCGCGTGTGAAAGAACAAATTCGAAAGCGCACGAGTGTTTTGGCCACCCCAGCCGCCCCCAAAACTTGTTTAATGCGCGAGTGAAAGAACAAATTCGAAAGCGCACGAGTGTTTTGGCAACAAGCCCTGCTCTCTCTCTCTCTCTCTCCTTGTGGACCGTTTTTGTTTGTATTGTCACTGCTCTCTGTTGTGGGATTTATGGAATCTTCTGAAGTGAGATATCATGACCTGACTCTGGATTGGAGCCACCGGCAGACAGAAAGAAAATACTAGTAATTTTCACAGAGTTTTCTAAGTTTACTGACATCTCGAGGTCACGCGAGAACAAAAGGGGCCATAATTTCGTACAATCCCGATCGGAGGAGCATCTGATTGGCGGATGGCAAATTATGCGCATCACTCACGTGGAAACTCAATGGGAGAGTAGTGTCGATGCGTTCAACCTACCAATCAAGGATGTGATTGGAGGAATGTATCATATGAAATGGAACGGGGGATTGCGAGCTTTCGATAAAAAAAGGAATTTATTGATCAAAAGTGCTGTTACTAGAAGTATAACTGCTATTTTAAACTGGAAAGAAACAATCGGTTGTCAGCCCATGCCATGTCTTACTTTGGTTCTAGAGTCAACTTATAAATTGGGGACAAAAGGGGATTATGATTTATAATTATGGGGTATATTGGTCAACTCAGTAAATTGCATTTGGGAGCAGCAAATCGCATGCTCCACACTCGGAACAAGAAGGACATCTGAGAAAGATGACCTGAAAGCAAGTTGGCGTCGAATATGATGATTCTTTGGTTTTTAAAGATGCGCGCGGCGACGATTCTATACCCGAGAACTGATTCTGCTCAGAAATGATTCTTTTTTATTTCATACCCGAGAACTGATTCTGCTCATAAATAATTCTTTTTTATTTCGTACCCGGAAATAATTTATAAGCATTTGAAGGCGTTTGGTAACTGCCCAAAATTTCTATTCTTAGAATAGAAAAAGAACATAAATACGCTTGGCAACTACACAAAATTTCTTTTTATTAATAATATATATTGAATTTTTTAATATTTCTTTCTCTCTTTTTTTTCTTTCCCTTCCCTTCCTTGGCCATGGTCGGTCGCCGGCGCCGGCGACTGGCCACAGGCCAGGGCCAGCAAGGGCGTCGCGAAGAACAACAAACCAAGAGGGAAAAAGAAAACCAAGAAGAATAAAATATGAAAAAATTGTTTCCAGAATCAAGAAGCTTTTTTTTTTTGCTTCTTGATTTTGTTCCAAAACTGATTCTGGGAACGAATTTTTGTAAATTTGTGCCCGAATGCAAAAATTTTAATAAATAGATTTCTATTTTCAAATTGATTCTGAAAATAAAAGAATATAAATTTTTACTATTTGGTAACTTGCCAAACGGGTCCTAAGCAACGTACGTACATTCAGACCAAAAAGAAAAAAAGGAACATACAAACATACATGCATGCAGGAATAGGAAGTTGACCATTTTGTCAGGTGACTGAAACTGCTCGTGGATGTCAGTTTTTTACTGAGTCCCCTTCTAAACGTGGGTGCGATGTTCACCTCATACATAAAAGATAATAGAGTATCCTTTCTGAACGATGAGTGAGAGAAAGAGAGAGAGAGATTAACAATATATTATTATTATATTTATAATTATATTATATGGTTTGCTTCTTTTGGCCATCACAAAGTGCAGTTATCCTAAAGATATATAAGAAGGAAGGACGGAAAGAGAAAGATGAGAGTTTGGGCCTCACATCATCCAAACGAACGAGTGAGTTCCGCGGACTGGTAGTGCCGTGCTGGTTTCTGGAAACCGACTGCGGAAGACTCAAAAAGAATTTTGTTGGGCGACAATCATGGAGCAGAACAACAACAACAACAACAACCACAACAACCACAACCTGGGCGTCCCCATTGGCGAATCCCGACGCGAGCTCCTCTCTCCTGTCCCCGACGACGTTCCTTCTTCCTCCATGGACGACCCCCGCCGCCGCCACTCCTCCTCCGCTCCCTCCTCATGGCGTCTCAGCCTCACCGAGTTCCGCCTCCCTCCCCGCGATCACCGCCACCACCCTCGCTTCTCCTGCCGCCACCTCCTCCCTACTCCAAGTATCTCTCTCTCTCTCTCTCTCTCTCTCTCTCTCTCTCTCTCTCTCTCTCTCTCTCTCTCTCTGGAACTGAAACTGCCTCCGTCGTAGCGTTAATCCTGGCATTTTCTGGACAGTCGTTTTCTCGCTTATTCGCCATTTTGTATCTCTGTTGCGTAGTCCGAGCGTCTCCCGTTGCACGTCATCTATATACTACACTACACTCCGTACGATCGCCTCGTGCTTCGACTTCTCCGTCGAAAGCGACGGCGCCTTCTTGGCGCGCATGCACCGTCGCTGACTCCATGAGATATCCTCACGTTTTCGCTGATTGGTGGAAATTAACATGCCGTGTCCTGTATACGTCATTCTCTGGTAACTTCTCTTGCAAAAGCCACACAATCTCTGGGACCGAACTGCTTTTGCTTGGTCTGTGTTTGTTTGTATGGATCAGTTCGGGTCTTGGTCCGCTTGGCAGTGTACCCCTGCGGTGGGATCCCACAATAACACAGACATTCATTGCTTCGCGAATTCGGAGTGTTGAGTTGCTTCTCTGCGCTCATTTTCAGTGGATAAGATTGGTTCATTTCGTAGCTATAATGATTATGCATAGCTTTCGAGCCTTTTTTCTTTTCTTCCTTGGTATTTTCTTCCAGCCAGTGGTATCAATCAACAGAAACACAGATGAAAATTAACTAGGTCCGACTTCTTGCTTCCTTAGACTGTCTACATCTATCACACCGCCTCCTTTCAACTGAGCTTAGGACAGAAGTCATTCGGCAAAAGGACATTATAAGTGCCACAACTTGTGTACGGCGCTCACTTTAATGCCAAAAGTTTTCGCCGACTCATTTAAGTGCCAAATCGGAGGAAAAACGATCACTTAAGTGCCAAAAGTTTTTTTTAGATCACTTAAGTGCTACAATTTTTGAAAAACGATCACTTAAGTGCTAAATTTTTTGAAAAGCGATCACTTAAGTGCCAATCTGCGGCGAGCCGCGTCAGCTTCAGAAATTAATAAAAAAAATACCACGTCGGATTTCCAGAGAAAAACTGTATATGGCATTGAAGTTGGCACTTAAGTGATCGTTTTTCAAAAATTTTAGCACTAAAGCAATAAAAAAAAAACTTATGGCACCAAAGTGAGCGCCGTACACAAGTTATAGCACTTGTAATGTTCTTTTGCCAAATTCATTCTATAAGCATCATATAAGTGAATTGGAAAGTGGGTATGGAGTTTTAAGAGGTTGAGTGACATGTAATTTTTACTCTGACCCATGGTCAAATTCAGGTCGTAGTGTTGGAGAGCTAAGTCATATCATAGAATATTTTTGTACTTTCAAGATCAGGGATACTGTTTTAATTCGAGTCTCTGGACCTTCTTGTTTTGCTTGTCACTACTCAGATTGTATCTAATAATTTCAATTTAGGGAAGGAGCGCAAGATAGCAGAATATTACCAGAAACAGGAAAGCCTCCTTGAAGGGTACAAAGAGATGGAGGCTATGACTGAATCAGGGTGTTTTCCAGGAAGTTTAACTGAGGTAGATTCTTTACAGCTCACATGTTCCTAAGTTTCTTTAGTTTCAGACCTTTGAGAGGATTGTGCATTCCTAGTCCTAGAAAAAAGCAGATTCTTTAGCACAATGAAATGTTTCTCCACTTGGTAGCTCTCGAAGCAAGAGAAACAATCATGGAGATAATGGACATGATTTTATGACATTGTATTTCAAGTTCTCTAAGAAGACATCGCTTACATCGCTTTTGATCAGTGAACTGCATTTCGTCAGGATGAAATGAAGCAGCTGGCAAAGAGCGAAAGATTTGCAGTTCATATTTCAAACATAGCAAACATGGTGCTTTTCATAGCAAAGGTCTACGCTTCCGTAGAGAGCAGATCACTGGCAGTTATCGCCTCAACCTTGGATTCATTCTTAGATCTATTATCAGGGTTTATTTTGTGGTTCACGGCAAATGCTATGAGGAACCCAAACCATTATCATTACCCTATTGGTAAGAAGCGGATGCAACCAGTGGTATGTTCCCCTGCTTCCTCGGTTAAAAAATTGTTGTGGTTCCATACGTAAACATGTTAATCGATTCGACTTTTCTTTTGCTCCCACTAAATTTTACTAGCCTTGTGTAGTCTCGTGAGTATTAACTATTGTTTATGGATTACTTTTCTCCCTTACTCCTAGAATAAGGAGATGTTTGATTCTGACTGACCATGTAATTGATTCTTCTGCTGTGCCTTCTTTTCTCTTTGTTATGTCACTCGGATTACGATGGAGTCCTTGTTGTTCAATAGCTTTAGCTACCGTGATAATGCATGTGTTATCTTTAGATAACAGCTGGCTTAGTTGAATTAGTCACCAAATTATACTCAATTTACCTTCGTCTCTATGATTAGCTCACCAAAGAAGGTGGTGTCAGATATAATTTTTTGTATAGCAGGGCTATTGAAGTACAGTAGGATGAAGCGTGACACTGATAATAGGAACCAAATAGCCAAGCAGACCAGGAGTAACAAAAAATTGATAAGAGTAGAAGGTTTTGGTTTGATTTGGCTTCAGGTCGAGATTGTGATGGCGGTGTCTTAAGTGTATCCATTGTTGGGTCACTGCGGTCCGTTACTTACAAAAGCCTGATCAACCTCAAGCTTAAGTCATAGTTAATCCGTCTGTGGTATTGATTAACCATGTGAAGTACTTAAGATTAAATAGTATCAGAGCTAAGTGAAATTTGGATGTTACAGTTTTGGTTTCAGAGCAGGTTATGGAGTGATAAGGTGGGTGAATTAAGATCAGGAAGACTAAGCTTTGGTTGGAGTGATGAGGTGATTCGAGGCTTTAGATTAGACTAGATAAATTTTGTCTTCACTGGGGGGAGAATGTAATAGCCTCTTACCATGAGAATTACTACGTATCACATAAGTAAATATTAGGTTGCTACGATTTCGGCGTTGGAGCTAAGTGAAATTTGGGATGTTACATATGGTCTTGTCATACAATCCTTCATTTTAATGTCAAAACACAATAAATCACAATAATGAGAGAGAGAGAGAGAGGTGGGCAGGGGGGCTTATGAACCATACCAAACTAGTTCTTTTTTTTTTTTGGTTCAACTCCATATCTCCAGTTCATATGATCCGCGCATAAACAAAAAGAAAATGGACTGTTTTGTCTACAAATCGATGAATATGATGGCTGCAGTCTGACACAAATGGTTTCATATGTAGGATGGGTAAAAATATCTGAATAAATGCTTGTATAAAGGAGAAACCAGTCAAAAGAAAAATAAGACCATGTTTTTTAAGGTACTAGCAGCCAATGACCCCAGTATTACTACCAATAAGAAATTACTTGAAATTTTCTCGATCAGAATACTATGTGTTGACTAACCAAATTTTGTGATTAAACTATGAGTGTAAATGGTATTGATGGTCTGAAAATGCAGGGTATTATTGTATTTGCTTCAGTGATGGCAACTCTTGGCTTACAAATCCTGTTGGAGTCTGTTCGAGAAATCATCTCCAAGGCAAGTTATCTTTATGTTGTTTGCTTTTTCATGTCACTTGCAAGCAAATTCAAATACAGAGCCTGGGATAGACGAGTTTACAGAGCAGTTAGAATGAGCTAACAATAATGGAAAGAAGGCTTTGAGTCTCCTCTGGGTACATGGATATTCTAGTCTTAATTAAAACTTTTAGAACTTACCTTAAAGGATATAAACTTCTTCTGATTTTTTCATATGGGTTCTTTTAGAAATTTGTGGAAATAAAAATGTTGCTGCATCACAGAATGACCGAGTGGTTCATCCAGTTTTGCTGCTACCTTCTAATAACCAATTGTTTTAACCAGGCAGACTTAAGATACGGTTACTAAAGTTTAGACTGTCATCTTATTCCTCCAGTTCACTCATCTTATCCCATTATATTTCAATCAAATCTACGTGCAGTCACGCCCAGAAACTGATCGTGAGAAGGAGAAGTGGATGATCGGGATTATGGTTTCGGTGGCAGTAGTGAAGTTTGCCCTTATGGTCTATTGTCGAAGATTCAAGAATGAAATTGTCAGAGCCTATGCTCAAGATCATTTCTTCGATGTTATAACTAATTCTGTCGGTCTGGTGGCGGCTGTCCTATCCATCCAATACCACTGGTGGATAGATCCAATTGGAGCTATAATGGTAAGTTCATCTCAAGTAGTCCAACATAGTTTTTCCATAGTGTGTTTTTTGACTGTTATAGATTCACTGCCCCCCGCCATCCTATCCACAGGTTTATGTTGCGCACAGCTTTTCTCAGCCAAAATTGTTACGTACTCTGCAGATAGCAATATACACCATAAGCACGTGGGCAAGAACGGTGATCGAGAATGTATGGTCGCTTATTGGAAGAACAGCCCCACCTGAATTTATAGCGAAGTTAACATATCTCATTTGGAACCACCATGAAGAGATCAAGCACATTGACACGGTCAGAGCTTACACTTTTGGTTTACATTACTTCGTGGAGGTCGACATAGTATTGCCCAAAGACATGCTCTTGAACCAAGCCCACAATATCGGGGAAGCACTTCAGGAGAAGCTGGAGCAATTGCCCGAAGTTGAGCGAGCTTTCGTCCATATTGATTTTGAGTTTACTCACAGGCCTGAGCACAAGAATAAAGTATGAGGTGGATGGATCATATCAGACCATTTAGAATCAGGCGGCTACTCCCTTTCCTTATACCGTTTATTTAAATGCTTTCACTTGCATTAGGAAGAGACGTACACGCAAAAGCATTTTATCCTCACTGATATGTGCTGAAGATCAGTGTTTGGTTGAGGCAATGTCATTATTAGCAGTAGAACTACTTTTGAAATAATGCGCCATTTCATTTTGTTCTTTCATTGTGAGGACTGAACTATTCTTCGAGAGAGATGCTTAAATCTTCGTTTGTCACGGGGAAGGAAGTGATTGGCTTTTTAAGGCCTTAGGTTTTTTCCTCCAGGTAAGTATTCGTCCCCACACTAGCGCTTCCGTGTAATAACTCTACAATCTTCTCAATACGAATAGCCCCATTCCTATCGAAGCGTCCTACCTAGGCTGGAAATGTCAAAAAGGGTTGAGCCCCTTGGTGGTACAAACGGTCCGGTTGGGGTTAGATCGCTAGCTAGAATGAACCTTCCACCAAATTTGAAATGACTTGTAAAATGAGGAAGAAAGATTCTGTTCATACTCGACGATGCCATTCTTTACGTGAAATGCGACTGCTTTGTCTGGCGGCCTCTCCTTTGACTTGAACATGAAGAAAGCTTATTAGACATATTTGAGGATTAAACTGCAAGTTTCTCCCAAGCAAAATGCACGTCGCAAATTCTTTCTTTGGCCACCACATTACTGCTGATCACAGGAGGTATTGCCTAAGTAGCTTTTACTGCTCCGCCAGAATAATCTGACCGCTTTCTCTGAAGATTCAGTTTAAGCATAGTTTTTCTATAGGTAGATAGCTAAAGTGACGTTTAATTCCAGGTCTAGTATCTGCGGCCCGCATCATATGCTTCCACTCTTCATCTGGAGGTGTATGCAGATCCATCAATAATAATATAAATGTGAAAACTCTGGGAAAGATGGTAGGGACATTCAGCATCTAACAAATCAACTGCTCCGATGACGAGATTCAATTTAATAACCAGCATTCATGCATGGATATCCACTTTTCTGGCCATCAAAATTAGCTCGGCAAAATAATATGACCAAATCCCTCTCTCATGCACCACATCGGAATGCAGAGTCGGACCTCATTTCTGAAACACTAAAGGTCTCTTGTTTCTTTCTCTTGATTAATGCTGTGCATTGGCCAACAAGAAACTACAGGAGATGTACTTCGTACGTTGCTCCCTCCGGTTCAGCATTATTCCAATGACTGTACTATGGAAGTCGTTAATAAAAGCGAGCCGTTGAATTAGGTACAGATCGTCTAGCTGTTATACAAGATCTAACATTTCCATATTCAATTGCTTTTCAACCACAATAACAAGTAAATAAAAAAAATAGATTACTCAAAGATTTTTGATACACAAAACTACATAAACAGCCATGACGCATCAAACCACAAGCCATCAAGAAGTCCATGTGATTGCTTAGTTCCATCCTGGGGTCCGGTTCCAAGACAAGTACGAAGGATCTCCAAGTTGCCTGGTCGAAAAGAGGTGGTATTAGCGAGTTTGTATAATGGAATAGCAGTTATCAAACATTTTTACATAAAAATTAAGACGCGTGTTTAACAGGCAAGAATGTCTTTAATGCTAGAGCATACAGCAAATCAGTAGCCCAATCATACTCCAACTCAAGTAAAATTTTGCAAGACGGCTCCTACTCTTTACTGTGACTATAATCTAAATATTTTCTGCTATATCTTTTATTAAGCAAGCGATCACTTTCGTGAGAAAAAGGAAGGCATGGAGAACTAGCCAGACGAAGCTAAAGACCTCACCTTGGCTTCACAAGGTATACAATGGTGAAAGCCATGGCCAAGAAAAAGCACAATCCACCCACAGTCAGGTAAGCAATGCCAAGAAAATCATTCTTTCCTCCGAGCCAGCTGGTGGTGGAAAGCACAAGCTTCTTTTTTCCATTAAAACTGTATGTGTTGTAGAAATTCCCCAGCGACACTTGTATCTCAGCATTCTCCTCTAGATCTTGCTCTATCTTCCCATATAATTTCCTGAAAGTAGGAAGAGCTGCAGTTCTCATCCATACAATGAGGTCCTCCTGCTCACTCAGCTACAAACCAGACAAACTCAACAAGTTAAATCTTTAGACATTCTTACTCGGAAATTTAAAGCACTTCCATTGCTTATTATGATTTATGATGCAATTAGACAGTCAACTCAAAAGGCGTTACCAGAAATCTTCTGAGAGATGCTAATTAATTACATGCAGCGACATTCAATTGCTTTCATTGCGTAAAATACAGTCAGAAATTTCGCAATATTTTTCAGTAATAGATGCTCAAGCCAAATATGATCTAAGACTAACAACGACAGTGCAATTCATAATTCTCGAGTCTTGAGATTCTAGCCAGGCTTACCGGAATGGATGCATTAAGTTTTGCTCCACCTATTAGGCCTCCACTTTGAAAGTTCTTCGGGTACACATCTTTACCAAATTTATGTTCCCTATCACTCTTCCATGAGATACCCTTCTTATTCACGTTCAATTGCGCACTATTGATCGAGAAACTATAGGTGTCGTTGAATAAGCTCCAGGCTATGAGACCACAGGGAACAATAAACGAGCCATTAGCCGTAGTATCTTCTGGTTTACAGTCACTAACATCATTTGCACTGCTAGCATCCCTTAACTGTTGATCACTTCGACTCTTCACATACCTGAAATTAAACCACCCCATCACAATTAATGGAATATCATATGGCCAAACAAATCTGCTGTCTTGTTTATCATACTATGACGACTGGACTTCATTGCTAACATACCATATCCCTTTTTCCGATGCTACCGTACCAATTGCCCATGGAAATCCAATCAAATAATAGGTAAAGCCCATAAAGATCACAAGAGATTGTAATACCAAATATTTTTCCTGACATGAAATGCATGTTGGTTTTCTTTCTATAAAGCCATCCATTATGGCTTTCCTAACAAGCATTACTAAAGGCAAACCAAGACATTATGATGTGGCATTCCGATCATAAAAAGTTCATCTCCTTTTATCGAGCATTAGCTACGAAGTATACATGCGTAGATTGGAAGATGCACCGGCTCAGGCCACATTATCTCATGCTACTCAAAATACAAAAATAAAAGGCATGGATCAGACAAAAAATCAAAAATACTATGTGGCAGAAGAGAATAAGTGTATCTATATCCAAAAAGCTACCAGAGACATAACATCTTCATGTTAATTAGCACCAAAGTCTGACTGAGTTAGACAAAACTAACTACTGTTTTCAGATACTCTTTCACACGGAAAATATGCTGAGGATGCAAAGGTTGCTGAGGCAACCGATACAAACCTGCGATGATTCTGGTAGAAGTTATCCAGCTGGTAGTATACGTAAATAGGTTGCTTCATACGCTTAGGCACCTGAAGACAAAGCAAAAAGTGGAGGGGAGATAATCCTCAGTTTCACATAGTCAGTGTCATCTTCTCTTAAAAGCATATATAGTGAGAGGGTTATTCAAGTTCTACGTGCAACTACCGAATTACTTTATCAAGAAAAGCTTACTGTTAATTTCCTGATGCAGGTGTTGTTCGGAGAGCTCTGTATGTACTGGACTTTATCCGTTCTGTTAGATTCTGGTATGCAATCAATGTCGTACCGATCAATTATCTCGACAACCTAAAAGATAGCAATAGATGTATAAACAGCTGTACATCATAATAACAGAGAAAGCAACTAGCCTTAGGATCATGCTTACATCACGGGAAGCAAACAAAGAGGCAACTCCGATGGGAATGAAAACAATGCTAACCAGCATAAATGCCGAAATCACCTGCACAAAGAAAGGGAGACTTAAGTATTTTTACCGCTAATCCGATAATCGAGGAGGTATCAGGAATTGGCAAAAGGCAACGAGGTCTCACCCATCGGGGTGTGAGGATTGGCTTGCAAGCAGGAAGCTCCTGTTGGGTAAACTTTGAGTCTGAGAGGCCCAAAAGGCAATTGAAGACAGCAAACTTTTATTTCAGAAAAGGATTCAAAGGAATTACAGACATTCCAAAGCGGTTGGCGAGTTTAATCGATGCCAAAATCAGCAGCAATTACCTCATCACATTGACTTGCACAAATCATAAGAACAAGGCATACACAGTGGTTATTAGCGTACGTGATAGATTGTTTATGTCAGTAGAGTATTGTTCGCGCACTTAACCGATCAAATCCTTACGAATCAGATCGTCCTAACAGAAGGTAAGTGCGTTGGTTTTGTGGTGAGCATGTTTTGCTGTTCTCCTCGACATAAGCCCAGTACAAAGAGCTCACACAAGCGTACTCAGGTGAACAAAAAGCACAAGAAAGGACCAAAAAGGCAAGACGACCACAATTCAAATACACAGACGAATCGACGAAACCACGATAGCAGCTCAACAAGAAATACAACAAACGAGAGTGATCAGACGACTCCGCGAACTCGTCTATGCCAAATCCCCAACACCAATCCGCGACGGAACGAGAGGGGAAGAGATTGAAAAGAATTAGGGGGGGGGGGGAAAGGGGGATCACAAGAGGATAACCCGATCATCTGGGAGGGAGATCAAACACATGATATCGATAGGATCGAGAGGGGAATCACAGTCGGAAACTCCAAGCTGCTAGAAAGAAATCGAAAAAACACGGGATACGGATAGAAGGGGGAAGGGGACAAGCAGAGAGCATACACTTGGGACGCTTGGAATTCCTGCGGACAGCAGAAGAATCGGCGGATCCAGGGGCCCCGGAGCTGGACGGCACCGCGGTCGAACTCATCGGAGAGAAGCGGGAGCAAATCCAAAAGGAGGAGGAGAGAGACGGAGATCGCGAAGCGGACGTGGAACGCGGGAGGTCGGAGATCGGGGAGGATGGTATAAAACCCTAGAAGGTCTAGAGAGAGAGAGAGACAGAGACAATGGAGGTGAGGTTTGGTGTATTTGACTTTTGAAGGAGGAGGAGGAGGAAGGATGAAGATCGCAGGTTCCCCCGCACCTCGTTATAGCATCGGGCGGCCTCTCTCCTTGGACTTGTCTCTCTCTCTCTTGCTCTCGCTCGTCTAGAAGGTCAGCAACGAAGGCGAAGCCTGAGCAAAATTCATGGATTGATGATGTGAACAGTAAAATAAAGGAAAGGAAGGTCCAACAAAAGACGCGGACCCGCATACACGGTTGGACCCGGTCCGATTCGACTTGGAC